GCGGGGGCGGGGCCGGGCCTGGTGTGCGGCCAGGTACCTGCTGCTTGGCCGACTCGTCCTGGAAGCAGGTGTGCTGGATGTAGTAGGCCCCGATGGCCTGGTACTTCTCGTCCTGGGAGCACAGGTACTGCACGGCCTTGGGGATGGTCAGCCCGCTGCACTCAATGTCCTCACTGCAGATCCTGTGGGGAGTGGCCGTGGGGTGGTTACAGGGGCCCTGGGGCAGGGGTTGGGACGTCATCTTTGCACATCCAAGCTGGCACGGCTACACCTGCCCTGGAGAGAGCCAGGGCAAGGCCCAGCTGGGGACGAGGCCCAGCTGGGGACAAGGCCCACCTGGGGACAAGGCCCACCTGGGGACAAGGCCCAGCTGGGGACGAGGCCCACCTGGGGACAAGGCCCACCTGGGGACGAGGCCCACCTGGGGACAAGGCCCACCTGGGGACGAGGCCCACCTGGGGACAAGGCCCACCTGGGGACGAGGCCCACCTGGGGACAAGGCCCACCTGGGGACGAGGCCCACCTGGGGACAAGGCCCACCTGGGGACGAGGCCCACCTGGGGACAAGGCCCACCTGGGAACAAGGCCCACCTGGGGACAAGGCCCAGCTGGGGACGAGGCCCACCTGGGGACAAGGCCCACCTGGGAACAAGGCCCACCTGGGGACAAGGCCCAGCTGGGGACGAGGCCCACCTGGGGACAAGGCCCACCTGGGAACAAGGCCCACCTGGGGACAAGGCCCAGCTGGGGACGAGGCCCACCTGGGGACAAGGCCCACCTGGGAACAAGGCCCACCTGGGGACAAGGCCCAGCTGGGGACGAGGCCCACCTGGGGACAAGGCCCACCTGGGGACGAGGCCCACCTGGGGACAAGGCCCACCTGGGAACAAGGCCCACCTGGGGACAAGGCCCAGCTGGGGACGAGGCCCACCTGGGGACAAGGCCCACCTGGGAACAAGGCCCACCTGGGGACAAGGCCCAGCTGGGGACGAGGCCCACCTGGGGACAAGGCCCACCTGGGAACAAGGCCCACCGCGAGGGGGCGGCCCCAGTTCTCCATCTGGCTGTAGGAGCTGAAGCGCCGGTTGTCGGCTTCCCGCTTGAGGGTCCCATTGTAGAGCTGGCGGGGAGAGGGGGCGGCTCAGGGCAGGGTCCCCGGCCCCCGGGAACCCCACCAGGTGTGGAGGCCCAGGAGCCTGACCCGGCGCCAAGAGAGGGGGCGGCTCAGGGCAGGGTCCCCGGCCCCAGGGAACCCCACCAGGTGTGGAGGCCCAGGAGCCTGACCCCGCGTCTGATATATTATTCCTCAAACTCGAGGCTGGGGCCCATTATGGACGATGAAACCAGCTTAGAGGACGTGACCATCATTTCAAAGAACAGACTAGAGTCCGGCCGGGGTGGCTCAGTGGTTGAGCGCTGACCTATGAACCAGGAGGTTGGGGTTCGATTCCCGGTCAGGACACATGCCCGGGTTGTGGGCTCGATCCCCAGTGGGGGGCGTGCAGGAGGCAACCGGTCCATGATTCCCTCTCATCATGGATGTTTTTCTTTCTCTCTCCCTCTCCCTTCCTCTCTGAGATCAACAGAAAATATATTTTTTAAAAGTGTGTGTGTGTGTGTGAGTGTGTGTGTGAATGTCTGTGACTATGTAAGTGTGTGTGTGTGTGTCTGTGTGTGTGTGACTATGTGAGTGAGTGTGTATGTGTGTGTGAGTGTGTGTGAACAGCGTGCAGGAGGCAGCCGGTCCATGATTCTCTCTCATCATGGATGTTTCTCTCTCTCTCCCTCTGCCTTCCTCTCTGAGATCAACAGAAAATATATTTTTTTAAAAAGTGTGTGTGTGTGTGTGTGAGAGAGAGTGTGTGTGAATGTCTGTGACTATGTAAGTATGTGTGTGTGTGTGACTGAGTGAGTGTGTGTGTATGTGTGTGTGTGTGAATGTGTGTGACTATGTGAGTGTGTGTGTGGGTGCGGGGGGAGGTCAGGCAACTGGGTAGTTCCCTCCCACACCAGATGTGGCCACCCAGGCCGGGGGTCCCTGTCCCTCCCTCTCTGCAGGAGATGCTTAGAGCAGGAAGCCAGGGTGGGTGAAGGCCCACTGGGGGTGAGTCACGTGCCCCAGGCTGCCCAGGTCTCAGCCCCGGAGCCTGCGGGCTGT